GTGGCTGTAGCAGGGAGGAGGGGACGTACAGGCTTCAGCAGGGGAGGCATGAGGGTGAGATGGATAGAGCCTGGAGTCAAGGAGCACAGAGCCACCAGGTACAGGACGGGGGAGGGTCCTCCCCTCCCCTGAGCCTCAGGAGGCAGCCCACACCTTGACTTCTGACAGACTTCCAGAATGGAAGAGAAAACATCTGTGCTGTCCTAAGCTGACATCTGGTCAATTGTTACTTGGTTGTTAAAAGCCACTCGTGGTCCCCTGGCAGAGTCACAAGCCACATATCCTGGGTACCTCCCAACAGTAAGTTAGCCTGTTAGAAAAAGCAGGCACAGAGGGGCTCTGGTCTGCATGGGGCTCTAAGACCACTGCTCCCAGCGTTAACTGAAATTGGGGTCACAGTCTATGGCCTAAGGAGTCAAGCTGGATCACCCATCCTTAAGATTAAAGGCAATTAAAGCAGCCAATTAACAGTAAAAAGCAGAAAAATGTTGGGTATGGTGGTGCGCACCTTTAATCCAAGCATTCGGGAGGCAGAGGCAGGCAGATCTCTGTGAGACTTGAGGCCAGCCTGGTTTACATAGCAAGTTCCAGGCCAGCTAGGGCTACATGGTAAGATCCTGTCTCAAAAACAAAAAAAAGGGCGGGGGGAGGAGATTTACTCAATGTAACCTCATCGGGAAGAGGGACAGGAGGTTCTTGGGGGTATACACTGTGGACCCCCAAGTTCAGTAACAGCAGAAACTGCTCAGCGTATGATCACCTACCAGCTGCTGCCAGGCAATAAGACCAGGCCACAAGTGCTGGGCTGTTGGCGGTTATAAGGCTGCATGGTGGCCAGGCCAGTATACAGGCGGCCAGCAGCCCACTCAGCAGACCTGGTCCCCATCCGAGCTATTTTTCCTCGGCCCTTCCTTCTACCCCTGGGCCGGGGTGTGTGTGTGTGTGTGTGTGTGTCGGGGGGCGGGGGGGCGGGATTCGAGGCCCCAGGCATGCCCAGCAACATCCTGGGGACAGTTTTGGTTTTCAGGACACGGGAGTCACAGCCAGCTCAGCAGAGGCCAGGGTTGTCCTTATGTCGTATGTCTGTGGTGCTGGGTGGGAGACCAGCTTCAAAGGCCGAAATTCTAACACAGGGTGCAGGGAGGGGACTGGGTGTTGAAGTACCTGGCAGGATCTGCAAATTTTCTCCCCCTTGGAAAAACAAGTAAACCCAGAATTTTGCGGCAAATTGAGTAAGCATGCACCCAGCTGATCCTTTACAAGCTCTCATGTTCCCAAATCTGCCAGCCTTCTGGCTGCCTGTAACTGGAGCACACCCCAGGAGTGGCTCATCAGTGGACCGACTCTTCACCCTGAAACAAACCCAACCCCAGCCGTGCCCGCTAATCTGGGCAGCCTTGTCATGGCCAAACAGTGGGTCCCAGACCCAGCTTCTGTTCCACCCAGGAGGCTGGTTTGCAGCAGCTGCTCATGGCTCCGGTCCTGAGGCCCCCGAGTCTCCCAGCAGGGTCCTATCCAACGAGGTGATGACTTCAATTCAGCAGGGAGGCCACTCAGCGTGGCCCCTTAGAAAACTTGGGGCTGGGGAGACAGCTCAGTGGGTAAAGTGTTTGCTGCACAGGCATGAAGACCCAAGTTTGGATCAGCACCCAAGAAGAAAGAAGCTGTGTATGGTGTCATGCACTTGTAAGCCCAGCTCTGGGGGAAGAGACAGGTGGATTTTGAGGGGGGCTTTACGACCAACCGGTCTAGCTGAAATGGCCAGTTCCAGGTTCAGTGAGAGACCCCGTCTCAGAAATTAAGGTGGATGGCTGGGGAGATGGCTCAGTGGGTAAAGCTTTAGGACCTGAGTTCAAATCTCCAGAAACAACTTAAAGCCAGGAGCAGTATCTGACATTTGTAACCCCAGGGCTCCTATGAGGGATGGGAGGCTAGATGCCAGGAAGGCTGGGCTGCTTAAGAGACCCTGCCTCAAAAAGGTGGAAGGTGGCAGCGTCCGAGGCTGTGGTCTGACCAGCACATGCACACTGAGGCACACACGCACACAAGGGTGGAGAGTGGTAGAGGAAGGCCTCTGGTCTCCACACACACACATGCGCAGGCACACCTTCATACACAGATTTTCAAAACTAAAACTAAGAAAACTTGAGTTGTCTTGTGTATCTGTACACAGCACCCTGTAGTGCCTTTGTTTCCCTCCTTTTTGCACTGTGGATTGAACCCAGGGCCTTGTGCTTGTCAGGCATGTTCTACAGCTGAGCTCCACCCCTGCCTATATTTGAGATAGGGTCTCCCTGTAGCCCCAGCTGGCCTGGAACTCACTATGTAGACCAGGCTGGCCTCGAACTCACAGAGATCCTCCTGCCTCTGCCTCCAGAGTGCTGGGATTAAAGCCATGTGCTACCACGCCCGGTTCATATTTCCTTTTTTATAAAAAATTATTCTCTTTATTCTATGACTGTATTGCCTGCATGTATGTGGGTGCACCCATGTTGTGCAATGCCCTTGAAGGTAAGTAGAAGGCATCGGATTCCCTGGAACTGGAGTTAAGGACGGTTCGTAGCTGCCATGTGGGTGCTGGGAATCGAACCCGGGTCCTCTGCAAGAGCAGCCAGTGCTCTTAACTGCTGAGCTATCTCAGCCATTTTATGAAAAGGCCCTAACCAACCACTAAAAAGACTTATTGAGCACTAGAGCTAAACTGCCCATGAGATTTTGGTAAAATTTGGTCTTTTGTGGTGAGAGAGAGAGAAAATCTGTGTGTTTGATTTTCATTGCAAAGACAGGAGAGAGAATATCACTTGCCCCACACACTGTAATTCAGCTGCAATTGTAGCCCAGGCTGGACTCAAATTTACCATCCTCCTGCCTCAGCTTCTCAGGTGCTGAGCTGTAGGAGTGTGCCCTCGTATTGCCCTCAGTTATGACACAGCAGAATTCCAGTCACCAAAGATGTGCCCCGTGCCAGATGCTGCATGATGCACCCATGACAACCCAATGTGTGAAGGCTGTTGCTCTCTCCATTTTCCAGACAAGGAAACTGAGGCCCTCAGTTCAGAAGGACTAGGTAAGAGCAGGGGTGAGGTGAGGTCCAGGAGAGACAGAGTCTGGGAATCATGCAAGACATATAGCTGTGCAGGTCAGCATGGTAGATCTGCAGCTCAAACAGACCCCATCCCTTCCTTTAGGTAGAAAACAAACTGCCCAATAAATTCCACTTATGGCCTCAGAATGGACAATGAGAAACCCAGGCACGGACTGTCCTGCTCAGAGTGACAGAATTCATGGAAGACTAGCGCCATGATCTACTTGCCAACCTCAGCGTGGGGGACCCTGTAAGTCCTCGCTGGCCTCAAACTTTTGCTGCCCGATCCCCTCAACTTCCCAGGAGTCCCCGTATAACCCTGGAGCTCCAACAGGAACCACCCTGAGAGGGATTTGTAGGCCCCTGCTGGGTGGTCCAACCCTGTGTAGGTGGGTAGTGTCCTCAGAGACAGTCACATTGGACAGTACCCTCAGCCCACAGGGTCAGGGTAGACAGACACTCCTCAAGTCAAGGGCGGTGACTAACCCTGCAATCTCAGCACTTGGGAAGCAGAGGCAGGAGGATTGCCATGGGTTTGAGACCAGCCTGGATTATGGGGTGAGGCTCCGTCTCAAAAACAAAAAACAGAAAGGAAGGGAGGGAGGGAGGGAGGGAGGGAGGGAGGAGGGAGGAGGGAGGAAGTCTCTGTGGAACCTTTGCGTGTTTATTCCCACGTGTCTTCGGCACAAGTCCTAACTTTCTGTCTTTGGGGTGGGCATCCTCTGAAGTCATTGTTATTGTTGACCCACACACACTCATTTAAGGACACAGTGGGTCTCGGGGATAAAGTTCCAGACAATGCCAATTTTTATTTCAAACATTCAGGGCCAACTCAACAGCCTCCCCTGTTAACCCTTTGCTGACCGCCCTGCCCTTCCCCTGTGTGAGATGCCTTTTGAACTTTCTCATTTTCCTTTTTAAAATTTGTGTGCACGTGTTCAGTATGTGCAGGTGCACGTGTGCTTGTGTGTGCATAGGTCAGAAGACAACCTCAGGTGGTAGTCTAGGCTGGCTGGCCAGTAAACATGACAGATTGACTTGCTTCTGCCTCCCCAGTGCTGGGTCTCAGGCGTGTGCCACCGTGCCCAGCTTTTTATGGGTTCTGGGGACCAAACTCAGTCTTTGTGCTTGCAAGTCAAGCACTTTACCAACTGAGCTGTCTCTCCAGCCCCACTTGTTTTATTTTTAAGCAGTTTCTTGCTATATAGCCCAGGCTGTCCTTGAATTCTTGATCCTCCTGCCTCAGGCTCCTGAATGCTGGGATTAGAGGCACCCACCACCGCCTGCCCCTTCTCACTGCTTCTTGATAACCCACAGTGACAGCTCTGCAGATCAGGGGCCTTTCCCCACAGACTCATGTAAGCAAGAGTGCTTGTGCACAGAGAGGGTAAGAGGTGAGCCAGGCCCACACAGCCATCAGCCAAGAGGCTGACTCAGCAGTTGATGGGGTCATTCTCCTCAGTCACCACAGCAAGCAGGCATAAGAGACAAGAGGATTGTTCTTTCTAGGACTTTCTCTTAGCAAGAGAAAGCAAGAGAGCAGGCTTCCAGAACAGTGTTATAGAGATGGGACCCCTGGAATCTGCCCGACCAATCTCCTTTTCTCCAGGCATGGAGAAGAGCTAAGTCACCCAGGAAGCCCCAGAGCAGCTCTGTGCTCCATCCCTGACCCCGCAAATCTTCCCAGGCCGGGCGCTGGGCGGAGCAGAGGCAGGAAGTGCTGTGACCTGCAGGTCGCGGTCAACCGGCCAGCTCCGCCTCAGGCACATGCAAGGCAAGGGAGGAGGAGGGCCCGATTGGGGCTTCCCAAAGCTGCTTGGAAGCGGGTTCTAGCCTGCCCCCAATGCCACGTGCAGCCAGACCCGTTCAACCCACGTCCAACCTGCGTCCCCAGCCCACGCGAAGGCACACTCACGTCCTCATCACGCTCCAGCTCCAGGCCTGCCTCCAGCAGGTTACCCTCATATTCCTCCCGACGGAAGCGTTTGTCATCCTCGTGGTAATCCATGGGGGTCTCGGGGGAGCCTGCATCCACCAGGCCCCCCTTCCCAGGCAGGGGCTGGTCCTGCCTGACGCTGCGGGCCCCCAGGACCGTGTCGTTGTGCTGTCCCCTCCTGGCCAGAGTCCTGTATCCTGAGGCTCTCTTGTGATGGTAAACCAAGATGTAGTCCACCTTGCGTTTGCCGTCCCGGAAATACAGCCCGTACTTGCATTCCGCATCGGGGTCCACGGACAGGGAGTTGAGCAGCTACAGAGACAAGAGAGATGAATTCAGCACGGAGTTGGTCCAGATGGGGCTTTGGGGAACGTGCTCAGGGCCCCGTACTGCATTCGTCCATTGACTCGCTTAGTCACTCAACAAACACGGTGGGCCTCATAACCGCAGCTGCCACAGCCACAGTCTAACCGACATCTGGTAGAAAATATTCCCAACTAACCTGCATCTATACTGAGTGCAGGCACACCCTTTTCTTCCTCATTAAAGTGACTATGAGTGTGAGTAGGTTCTGTGCAAATACTGTACCATATTATTTATCCCCTCCTTTTTGTGTGTGTGTGTGTGTGTGTGTGTGTGTGTGTACATTTATGGATACGCATGTGTGTGGTAACTTGAGGTCAACAACAGGTGTCTACTGTGATCTCTGTCTCATGTAAAGATCTATTTATTTTTATTTTATGTGTGTGTTTTGTCTGTGTGTGTGTGTGTGTGTGTGTGTGTGTGTACCTTGTGTGTGCCTGATGCCCACAGAGGCCAGAAGAGGGTCCCAGATCCCCTGGAACTGGAGTTACAGACAGTTGTGAGCTGCACGTGGATGCTGGGAACCAAGCCTGGTTCTCTGCAAGAGCAGCCAGTGCTCTTAACCACTGAGCCATCTCTCTGGCCTGCACCTTGTTGAGACAGAGTCTCTCACTGAACCTGGAGCTCTCCAATTAGGCTAAGCTGGCTCACCAGTGAACACTAGGGCTCTGCCAGTCTCCTGCCTCCCCAGGGCTGGGGTTATAGTTACACCATCACTTCTAGCTCTTTCATGTGGGTGCTGAGGATCTGAACTCAGGTCCTTCTAGCTCTTTCATGTGGGTGCTGAGGATCTGAACTCAGGTCCTTCTAGCTCTTTCATGTGGGTGCTGAGGATCTGAACTCAGGTCCTTGTACATCGAAGGTAAGCCATCTCTCCAGCCCCACTGCACCCTAGTGTAGAAGATACTTGAGCATGTGTGAGTTTCAGAATCTGAGGGTTCCCAGGACCTGCACTGTGTAGTACTGACAGACATCCCTATAAATGCCTGCTGCAAGCTAGACTCTGAGAGACATGCAGGCATGGAGTAGCCTCTAGATGGGGGGTCCTTGCCACTAACTGCCCCCCCACGGGGGTGCCAAGTTATGCCTGACTGTTACCCACAGTCAGTGTCTAGGCAGAGTCACCGTGTCTCCAGGACCACCATCCAGCATGTGACCAGATCTCACATGTGTGAGGTTCTTGTTCACACTCAGCCTGGTTCCTCCACAAACCTGACCCCAGTGCACAGCTTGGGCTCAAACAGTTTATTCGAGAGGTGACCTTGAGGTGCTAGAATGAGGCAGGTGAGTCCCCAGCAGCTCTGTTTGCCGGGGACCCTGCTGGGACCTTGAGGTGTACACCCAGAGTCAGTACCTCAGGATGTTTTGTGGTCCTCACCTGCTCCTGTCCTTCCCTGCCGGGGGTGGCTCCTCCTGCCCTGCCTGCATGAGAGGGTGACTTAGGAAGAGGGGGCGGGTACAGGGATCCAGGACTGTCTGGGGATGCTCTGGAGTGGATGAGGGACTGGGCTGGGCCAACAGCATCTGCCCTGCTTAGTTTCCTTGTTTATTCAAGGAGACACGGGAACAAGTGCGAGAGAAGGGAGGTGTGCCGTCTAAAAGCCAGGGCGGTGCCTGGCGGTCACCCTAGTCCTTGAGAAGTGGAGGACGGAGGATCAAGAGTTTCAAGGGTAGCCTTAGCTACATGAGTTCAAAGACAGTTTGGCCTGTCTAAATTAAAAACAAACAAACAAACAAAACCCCCAAACCCCAAACAAACAAAAAGAAAAAGCCAGGTGTTCCGTGCCGGCAGTAAGGCAGGGCCGTCCTGAGAGTGGCTGGAACTCCTGGGGATTTTGCTGCTTATGGAGAGCAGACAGATTGTCCAGTAAGACAGGCTCTGGCAACAAGGGACAGGAAGTGAGACCACACTGGGGCATGGTGTAAGGAACAGATTAGAATGACCAAGCTGTCCTCAGAGCTGGCCTCAGCCCAACCGACCACCTGATTCTGGCAGCTTCTTTCTCGGGGTCCATCCAGCAGGCACGCTGTCCCTTCCCTTCATGCCCTGAGCAGGGACCTCACCAGAAAACTAGGTCCTCCTTGGTGGCATGGGAGGCCAGATACGGTTGGAGGCAGAGCTCAATGCGAATAGCTGCCTGCCCCCCGCATCTCCTCTAAGAAACCTTCCCGAACTATGTGTCCTGGAGAGACCCTAAGCTGGTGTGGAGATCCAACCCTCCTCTCCACACCAGGTACAGCTCCTGCCCTCAGTTTCCCCCGGCATACAACAGGAAGTTATGGGCTGGGGAGATGGCTCAGCACTTAAGAGCACTGATTGTTCTTGCAGAGGACTCGGGTTTGATTCCTAGCACCCTCATAATGGCTAACAACTGTCCAAAACTCCAGTTCTAGGAGAATCTGAAACCCTCTTCTGACGTCTTTGGGCATTGCACAACACAGGTGCACTTACACACATGCAGGCAATACACTCATACACATAAAATAAAAATTATAAATACAATTAAAAAAATCCCCAAACCCAAACAACAACAACAACAACAGGAAGTTGAGCCTTCCCTAGGAGGCCCAGCTTCCCTCTCCACTGTAGCCCTACCCACAGGACCCCCGTTCCCTCCATGCCCTATGCCTTCCTCCGCAGCTCCAGCCACCATGGACATTTTACCTCCCTAACCTGTTCCATCCCACCCAGGCCTGTGCCAATGGCTCAAGCTCTGTCAATGCCCAGAAACCTGGTCTTGACCTGACCTTGACCTGACCCACCAGCAATCTGGAAGGTTCCCCACTCCATACTCAGGGGGGCCATCCAGGGCCTCGGGGGGGGGGCACAGCTACCCGGTGACTCTGAATAGCTATTGGAGCAGCAGGTGATCCCCCTTCCTGCTCCCTACCCCGACAGTGGGCTGTGATACTTGAAGGGGGACTCAGCTACTCTGAAAGTAATAGGGGATAAGGGAGAGGGGGCCATAGGGAATCTGTATCTCAGTCCAGAGCATCAAGGAGGCTTTTGAGCCAAAGGCCCGGCTCTCAGGGTCAGGGGACTCCCCACCTGAGACCACAGCTCCTGGAGACCACAGAACCATGGCTGGCACAGCCCACCCAGAGGCTGGAAACCCTCCACTAACATCCTCCTCCATGGCTCGTTGTCCCACTTGCCTTGGTGACCTTCTGGGGGACCTGGACAGTGTGGATGGTTGGCACAAGGTGCTCCCAGTGGAACTCCTTCCTGTTCACTGTCACTTCTGGGTGCTCATAGGCTATGGCCACGCCCATACCTATGTGGCCTCAGGAGAGCTCAGGGATGCTTTTGTTATGTTTTGTTTCTTTTTCGAAACAAGGTCTTATATAACTGAGGCTGTGTAGACAAGGATGACCTTAAACCTCAGATCCTCCTGCCTCTACCTCCCAAGTACTGGGATTACAGGTGTGGAAGCTGTACCCTGTTTTATGCAATACTGGGGGTTCGAACCCAGGGCTTCATGCATGCTATGTTAGCACCCTATCAATTAAGCCACATCCCCAGATCAGGGCTGGGTTTTGAGGACAGCAGGAGTGACACTCTGGCCCAGGAAAGGACCAAATTCGTGTGGACCCAGACATCTGTCCTTGGCCAGAAAATTGTGTAACTATGCAATGGAATAGGCCTAGTGAAGCCAGGGACCCCTGGTCAGGGGCAGGGACCCATGGTCAGGGGGACTGGGCCCAGCCTCAGATCCTGTCCAAACACCCAGGGCATTCGTGCCCTTCATAGAAACAGGGACTTAGGGTGCACTCTTTCTCAAGACAGAGTGCTCTATCTCTGAATACTTTACCTACGAAGGGAGCCTTATCTCCAGGTCCACTCACCTGGAAGAAATTGAGATGGGCACATATGGGAGAGGGGGCCAGCCAACTCCTGTCCACTGTTCCCCAGAGCCCAGCTCTACCTTCGTGCTAAAGGACACAGCCAGGACCTGTCCTGCCATGCAGTTCCTGGGCTACAAGACAAAGGTAAGCAGAGGCTGGAGTGGGGTCTGGAGACAGCAGGCTGTCAGTTTCTGGAGACCTTTCTCTCTGGCTCTGAAGCCCAGAGCACTCTGGGTAGTTGGGAGGCTGGGAGGGTGCCTCCTGCCAGGAGGATTAACTAGGTTGATGAGGGCTCTGCAGCTAAGTTAGAGTCAGCCTAGAACGTGCTGGGCCAGGCGCCTGGGGGCCATGCCTGTGGCCCTGCTCCATCCTGGGGCCAAGGGCAGGTACTCCTCAGAATCCCAGGAAGGGCAGAGAAATGCAAAGTCACGGTGTGCTGGCTGCTAGAGGTGCCCAGAGGGCAGGAGCCAGGCCCCAGCGCAGACCCTGGGATGCAGGGAGTCCCCAGGGTCAGGCCCAGCAGATGAGCATGCCCAACAAGGTGGACACACACTCTAGGGGCCAAGGGTATGTCTGCAGTGGCTGGTATCCTGACCACTCCAGAGGCACAGCCACCTCAGCCTCATCTCTAAACAGGGTCCTGAGATCCTACTCAATAACAGCACCTACAGTGGGGACCCTGAGCCCCCATCTCCTTTCTGTCCCTCCTTCCTCAGTATCCCTGGGCCTTCAATGAAGAGGCACCCTGTCCTCCAGCCTTCTCCCCAGCTCTGCAGCCTGTCTTCCCTCCCTCCCGCCCTCCTTCTCATCTTCCCTCCATTTCAACTCCCTCAGCCTTTTCTAGGTGGACCTGGTCTCCAGGTTTCCTATGTCTAGGAACCAAGGTGCCAGGACATCTCCTGAGCCGGGGCGGGGCGGGGCGGGGGCACAACTCAACCACCTTCCAAGAAGTTCCTAACTCTGCAGCCCCAAGCCCCCGAGGCTAGACCAGGGGCTGCCCTAATACCTCTCCCTAGCGCCAGAACAATGTCTACTATTGAACCTGGGGTAATAAATGCATAGAGAAAAAGAACAGTCAGAGCCTTCCAGAGAGACAGATGGAAATGAGCTCAGGGAGTCACCAAGGGCTCCTCAAGGTGAGGCAGGGTTCAGATTCAGTTTGAGTATAGAGCCCCATCAGGCCTCCCCACAGGGGCCTGCCAATCTGGAGGAGGACTTGGAGGACCAAGGTGGGCTTCATTACGCTGTGCTCAGAGACCAGTTTGGCCCTGAACTAGCTGTGCCACCTCATGAACACAGTACAGCCCCTCTGTGCCTGCTGAGAGTTCCCTTAGTTAATAGCAATCCTGGATGGTTGTTGGAAAGGATCATCTGGAAATATCTACAGTAGGCCCCTGCAGACAGCATGCCCCCAAACATTGTGGGTACTTTGCCAAGTGCTCTCTGTACCCACTGGCAGGATCTGCAGGGCTTCTCTGAGCTGAGCTGGGAAGACAGAGGAAGATAGAACAAATCCCACAGATGCTGTTAAAGGCACCAGGTAATGCTGCCTGGTGCTCTGTGTAGAACAGGATGAAAAGGCAACTGTGTAAGCTGCAGTGAGAGGGATGTAACTGTGTAAACTGCAGTGAGAGGGTTAGACTCTGTACGTAGCTTCCAACTCAAAGCTTGAGAAAGCTTCCAAGCTTAATAAGTGTGTGGTTAAGAAAGGAGCAGGTATGCCAGGCATGGGGTGTGCCCTTTTAATTCCAGTACTTGAGAGGCAGAGGCAGGTGGAGCTTTGTGAGATTGAGACCAGCCTGGTGTACACAGGAGTTCCAGGCTAGCTGGGGCTACAGGGAGACCCTGACTAAAAACAAAACAACACCCCCCCAAAACCCCAAACAAACAAAAAGGGGATTCCTGGGGCACCTGTGTGGAGGACAAGAGGCTTCTTATTCTTCTCTTTAATGACTTGTTATGGGGTTGTAGGGTGTGTGTGTGTGTGTGTGTGTGTGTGTGTGTGTGTGCACGCATTACTATGAACCTCAATTTTCTTTTCTTTATAAAAAAACAAACTTCATTTTTATTCTTTGTGTGAGTGTGTGCCCTATGTGGAGGAAGGAAGTTGGATCCCTGGAGCTGTAGTTACAGGCAGTTGTGAGTCACCTACTGTGGGTGCTGGGAACTGAGCCCAGGCCCTCTGCAAGAGCAGCAAGTACTCTTAACCCCTGAGCCAGTCCTCCAGTTCCCGAGACTCAGTTTTCTTATCTGTGAGATGGAGACGGGATTAAAAAGAAAAAAAAAAAACAAAAAACAAAAACGAACCCTCCTGATTTAGGTCACAGACACCTGTAGGACAGAAGGTGATGGAGTTGTCTCTTGAATTTGGGGCAAGTGTTCCTCGAAGCCATTTCCCTGGGGAAGCCAGGAAAGGTGGTGGATAGACCCTTCCGAGGCCATCTGGAAAAATGTTGGAGGACAATGGCCTCTTTCAACAGCAAGAGCTGTAGCCTTGTCCCTGTGCCACAAACAGGGAAAGCAGGCAATAGCTGGCCCACGCGGGGGCCAGTCCCTCCAACCCACCTCAGGCTCCAGGCTGAGAGGGGAGGCAGCATTTACACGTACTTGAATGTTCCTGACTGAAAGCTCAGCTCCTTCGGTCATTCCCCAGGGTGACAAGCTCTGGGGCTGAAGTTGAGGGATTCTAAAACCTCAGAATTTCTTTAAAAATAGGAGAAATGAAATCAGAGAACAAAGAACTTGATTTTGGTTTGGAGGCAGCATTTCAGACTGAGAGGAACATCAGGGTATTTGATTTTGCTTTGTGACAGGGTCTCACTCTGTAGCCCAGGCTGGCCTGAGACTTTCAGCAAGTTTCCTGTCTCAGACTCTCCAGTGCTCGATTACAAGCATAAGCCACCGTGTCTGGCTCTGAGGAACATCAATTTGAAATTGCACTTCTATTCCAGAAGTTTTTCTTGCCTGACTCATAAGCACCAGCCATCCATTTCCGATCACTAGGCTACCCAGGAGTCTATAAACAGAAATCTCTGATGGCAGATAAGCAGCCTGTGCCCTTGTCCCAGCAGGTGGGCAGATACCAGCCCATCAAGTCTTTCTGGGTCTTGGAAAATTCAGAACACACAGATCTCAGGCCACTAAGTGCCATCAGGTAAAAACATCCAAAGATCAGTACAAAGAAAACTCAAGGAAACCAGTCACGACGGCTCGGCTTTCTGGCTGTTCCTGCCACCAACCTCTTTGGACAGAATCAATGAGCAATTTCCCCCTTGAACTCTGGATGGCAGAGGACAGGCAGTTATTCCGAGACCCATTCGAGCACGTTTAAGGTGCCTCTCTGGGGGAAGGATGTACAGCCCATACCCTCTGACCCTCTACAGCTACCTTTGCTGGGTGACTCAGGGTAATAACTAATGATGGCAGTTGGTGTGGGGGGCGGAGTTCTCAGCATCCTGGTCACCAGGCCTCCATGCACTGAATGGTCCTGGGATCCAGAGATACAGTTTATAGTGTGATGCTAGAGCAAGACTTCTTCCTACAGCCCTCCTAGCCTGTACATGCCTAGGAAGAGCTGTGTGTCACTGGCCTCATGGGCCTCATTGGACTGGTCCATGTGTTTCTGGACCGTTGAAAACCCTAACGAGAGCAAGGCCATTGCAACCCCTTTTGGTTTTGAGGGGCCCTACAGGTCCTGGGTCTGGACAAGCACCAGGTCGCAGAATGGGGATGCCAGTGCCCAGAGCCGTTTGTTAAGTTTCTGCTTATTTGTTCTTATCCAAGTCTCTTCCCATCTGATGGAGTCACCTCTAGAGTGACATCTCTCTGTTAACTTGACCACCACTGTTCTCCAGGACCCCCTAGCTGGAGTTCTCACTGGGTCCCCCATCATGGCTGCCACCAGCTCCTGCCCCCACCATGTCCCTTCCTAAGCAGGCTTGCTGTGGCCTCTGTGTCTTGGTCCCTCCTCATTATCTTTCCAGCTGGTGGGTGACTTGGGAGGGGGTGGTCACTTGGCCCTTCTGGGCCTCAACTTCCTCATCTGTTATAGTAGCACCTCCCCCACACTGTTATGAGTTAAACAAGCTAAGACACAGCCCTGGCCAACGCTGAGGGACTGTCCTTTGTCCCTGTCATTGGTAACGGAGGAACAGTCCATCAAAACTCCTTAAGTTCCGGAAGGGTGGGGCCCTCCCTGTCTGGAGCTCCCTCTGGGTGCCCAGGGGCTAAGCAGGGCCTGGCACCTGACTGGCTCTGTTCAAATGTGCCCCTGAGTTGCTAAGTGTGATCCCATCCTGTGTATGACAAAGGTGCCCAGTCCATCAACAGCTGCTCGGGACCCAGGCTCGCCAGAGCTCTGTGCACCGCTCAGCAAGCCCCCCGCTTCTTACTTGTCACTCAGCTGAGAACCCATGAGTGTCAGGTCTGCCCAAGCCTGAGCCAGCACCTGCCCAGTCACTGCTCCAATCTGCCTTTCTGGCTGTACCCCTCTGGCTCTTAGCCCCAGGTCGAGAAGGGCAAGGGCAATCCTCACGTTGGGCCCTTGGCTCTCCAACCCCAGGCTATAGCCTTAGGCTGGAGACGCCCTGCTGGGTCCTGAGCAAAGTCTGGGGAGGGACCTTGAGGGGGCTGGAGAGACCAGAGGAGAAAGGAGTCTGCAGCTTGCAGCGCCCCGCCCCCGCCCCAGCCCTGGGGAAACTATCCTTTAAGCAAACTTCTCAGGGGTTAATTCTGCACCTAGAGATACCTTTGACCCGTTGGGTCTGGCCCCAGGGACAGTGCTGAGGTTATACAGAGGACCTCTGCATTGGGGTCCCCAACCAGGTGACCCACTCCACCCGCAGCGTTCGAGGGCGCAGGGCGGGGACACGGAGGTTGCAAACTTGTCTTGGTGGCGCCTGGCAGCTGCCTCTGGGTAGAAAGTTCCTGGGGGAGTCCTGTGAGTCTCTCGCGCTGCCTGCCGACAGGTGGGACCGCTGGGCTGGTGTACCCACTGGAGCCATTTGTTCCCTGCCGTTGACCCCCACTAGCCACTACCCGGCTGTCCCTGTAGCGCTGCTGGCCTTGGATTTGAAGGGGGGGGTGCTCGTTGTGGTCCAGGTCAGGCGTTGTGGGGACCCTGGGGACACTCTGGGCACCCTGGGGACGGGTGCTGAGGGACCCTGGGGGCTGGGCCCTGGAGGGACCCGGGGGACAATGCCCAGCCCCGGGGGAACCCCGGACCGTGTGTTGAAGGGCCCGGGGGACACTGGACACCCCCGGGCCGGACACTCTGGGCACCCTGGGGATGGGTGCTGGGAGACCCTGGAGACAGTGGACACCCTGGGCACCCCAGGGCTGGGCACTGAGGGAACCCCGGACCGTGTGCTGCGGGGCCAGGGGACACTGGGCACCCCCCGGGGACTCTGGGACCCCGGGGACACTCTGGGCACTCGGCGGACACTGCGATCAGCGGGTGGGACGCGTAGAGCTCAGGCGGGCCGCGTGCACTCGGTCCCCGCTGTAGCATGGTTCCCCGGGGCACGTGCGCGGGTGGGAGCCCCCCTTGCGCCGTGAAGTCGCCCGTGTCCCTCCCACCTGGGTCCCCTCTGCCTTCCTCCGCGTGCAGGTGCGCGGTCCGCGCGTGGGTCGCCCCACTCACCGTGCCCTCGGACGGGAGGTAGCCGATGTCCTCGATGGCGCAGATGTTGACGATGTGGACGCTGCGGTCCTCGGCCGGGAGCGTGGAGTACTTCTCGGGGACCCTCATCGTGGTCGCGGACTCGTGGGAACCGCCGGGCGGCGCGCCCTCCCCGTCCACGGCCCGGGCGGCCTCTGCAGGGAGAGCAGCGGGCTCGCAGGGGGCCGGGTCTGCCCGCGCCCCGGCCCAGGGGACGTGGCCGCCTCCGCTCCGCCCGCGCCCCGTGCGGGTGCAACCACGAGCCTCCCCGGGCCGGGCCGCAGCCACCTGGACGCGCGTCCCCAGGGCGCCCGCGCTGCTCAGACTTGGCCGCCTCCGCCTTAAAGATATAAGCGCACAGGCCAGGGGCGGCGGCCACGCGGGTCAGATTTTCCGTAGAAATTTAAACACAGGAAGAAACCATTCCATTCCTGGGAGCCCCTCCGAGTTTTATTTTTATCCGGG